AGAAACCTAGAGAGTGCAGGCCCATCTCTCTTCTTCTGGGACTGATCCGACCTTAACTCAAGTGTAATACAGCTCCAAAATCAGTTATACTTCAATATGAAATTACACAATCAAATGTAACTATATATATATATATTTGTATATATTCACTGACACTTAAAACTTCCATGTAAAGAGTATAACTTATGATCAAAGGTGGGTGTTCAAAACACGTCTGTAAACACTCTTCAAAATATATACTTGTCATTGTTTAGTCGCTAAGTCATGTCCAACTCTTTGCAACCCCCTGGACTATAACCCACCAGGCTTCTCGGTCCATGGGATTTCCCAAACAAGAATCCCAGAGTGGATCGCCATTTCCTTCTCCAGGGGATCTTCCTGAGCCGTGAATCAAACCCACGGCTCCTGTATTGTAGGCAAATTCTTCACCACTGAGCAACCAGGGAATTTTACAATAACACTGATAATGCTTAGCCAGTGACCTTAACACTGAAGTCACAATAAACGTCTTGGCCTTGAACATAAACAGACCACGAATCCACAAGTTAATATGGTTCTATTTGTGAACTTAGTCTGGAGTTTCGCAAACTGTGTTGTTCCCTAAACCACTGGTCCTAAGTGAGGCTTTTGAGGAAAATGTTCCACATCCAAACACAATGGAATCCAGCAACAGTCCTAAATCTTCTAACTTAGCTGGATTGAGCCAACCTGGCACTCTACTGTGAGATAAGTTTGGGAAATGTTGCATGCGAGTCCTTTTTTGATGATTTACAATACATGTTAACAACTCTAAAAAGCCCTACACTAGAAGAGTTTGTTTATTTTAGTTTAAAGCAAACACATTTGACCTTAGAATCCTTTACTATTTAACACCAAGTGATATGCTGGGGGAAGTCGTTTTCCAGAAAGAAAGATCTCACATAGGATGAATCATAACTCCACGGGGAAGTTAACAGAATCTCCCAAATCTCATGCTGTTACATGAAACACACACAGACACAAAGGTGTCTCTTGGCTTATTCATCACCAAAACTGTGTATAAAAAAGAATTTAAATATATAAACATGAGACAGGAAGCAGAAATTTTAGTATCTGTGAAGAGCTATTACAACTAACAAAAACAAATTTTAATTACTAACTGAAAATCCTAACTGCCCTCCACTTGGATTCAAAAAACATCACTTGAAATAAATTCTCTAGTATGTTTATCATCCCAAGTACAAGTCACCCACAAATGATTTTGTCATTCTTTTTTAGCCATCCAGATCCAAACCTCTACTCTAAGTTTGGAGGCAGCTCTAGCTAAGGAGCCAAGGGAGGCAGAAATCCTTCCCACTATCAAAGTTAAAATCAGACTTCCACTCACTAAGGCCTCTTTCGTAGCTAGGCACTGACCTATGACTTTGACTTGATTTGGGATCTGGTGACAAACACAAGTGACGACTGCTCAAGATCCATCCTGGGAAAGGCAGCAGCAGCAGCAGTAATAGTTTTATAAACATTTTAATTGGGGCTTTTTATTCCAAGGTTCTGGAGGTGATCAAATGACTTAGCACATTCCATCATCCTGACCACAGAACTGCTTCAAGGGTAGAGATGTACCAAGTCAGGCCACTGAGATTTATTCTGAAGATTTATTAGATTTGGGAGGAAGAAGAAATGATCTTGCCATCAGGACTGGCAATCCAGTAAGATGCTAACCTGAATCTATCTGAGGCAAGGTCTTCCCTGGTGGGTCAGTCGGTCAAGAGTCTATCTGCAATGCAGAAGACCCAGGTTCAATCCCTGGGTCAGGAAGATCCCCTGGGGAAGGAAATGGCAACCCACTCCAGTTGGCTGCCTGGAGAACTTCATGGACAGAGGAGCCTGGGGGGCTGTAGTCCATAGGGTCGCAAGAGTTGGATGCGACTGAAGCAACGCATACATGCAGACGCCCTTCTTGCAGTCAATGGTGGAATTTACACAACAGCTAATATTTCCCGTTGTAATTGTAGTACTGTCTCAGTGTAACAGTCAATACTGAAATTTAAGAAAGCTGCCTGACTTTCTAAAACAGACTCCGATAGTTCATGGAATTTCTTTAGCTGGTTAGGCCTGGTACCCCGGGGAGGCATGGCTGAGGTCAGTACTACAGCCTGGTCTCATCACACTACTGGGAGTCCCACTGAAATTAACCTTAACTAAATGTCACATTAGGCAAACCCATTGGATTTTATCCCAGCCCCTGTCAATCAGATTAGTAAGAATGAGCAACAGAAGAGCAAACTCATGGAAAGATCCAGCAGAAGTCAAGAGTGTATAGAAAGAGGTAGGAATTGTTGACAGACAAGTCTGCAAGGATCCCTCTTTCTCTGCATGTCCTGGAACAGCTTTTATTTTTTTGGACTATCTTTTCAAAGACATTTATATAGCAAACAGCTTTAGAGACAGAATGACATCTCCCTCTAATGCAAATGAGAGATCTGCTTGCAATTCAGGATATTAATGCTAACGTGTCCTCTGGGGCAAAAGCTAGGCAGATTTGTCAGTGGTTCCCTCATAAGATTGAGAGTTTCCTAAATTTAGTATACCTCAGTTGTGACACAGACCTGTGTACCCACCAGCCACCGGGGCTCATAGAACCGCAGAGTGAAAGAAATGAAGCAAACATAAAGCTCATGCTTCCTGCTGTGCTTGCATAATAAGGTCCTTTGATTCTGATCAAGGAGTTTATCTTCCACCAGCATCTATGGAACTGCGGCTGGATAAGCTTTTATCTTGTAGGTAGGATAAGATCTCAGACCCTTCACACTTTCTGACAAAGACCAAGATTAATAAACAGAGGTAACATGCTTGTAAGTTGAAGGACTCAAAATTATATCAGCTCTTCCAAAATTGATCTATAGATCAATGCAATATAAAGCAAAATTCCATAAGATTTTTCATAGAAATTGAGAAGCTGACACTGATAGCCAAAGCAATCTTGAAAAAGAACTAACTTGGAGGATTTGTACACTATCTGATCTTAAGACTTACTATAATGTATAGTAATTAAAGACATTGTGATGGTTGTATGAAATTAGAGAAATACATCAGTCGAACACAATATGATGTCCAGAAATTACCACACACATATATGGCCAAATGAATTTGACAGACACCAACTGTAATTCAATGGGGAAAGAAAAGCCATCTCAACAAACAGTACTGTATCTATTGGTTATCATATTTTTAAAAAATGTGTTGATCCACACTTTACATCATGCATAATGATCTAAACTACAAAACTCCTATAAGAAAACACAGGCAAATGTTTGAGGTCTTGGGATAGCCAAAGATTTCTTGGGAAAATGTAAAACACACAAATAATAAAAAGGCAAATAGCCCATTTCTTTTAAAAGGCGAAAGATTTCAATAGATACTTCATAAAGAGGATTTATAAATGGCTAAAAAAATTCATGACAAGATGTTTAACTTCATCAGCATCAAAGAAATATAAATTAAAAGCACAGTTAGATACCACTGTGCACTCACTAAGATTACGAAAATTAAAGACTAATACTTCCAAAACACTGGAGAGAATGCAGAGTAACTGGATACTGGTGGAAACTTAAAATGATGCAACCACTGAGGAAAAATGTTTGTCAGAATCTTAGAGTGTGAAACCCTCACCTACATTATTATTTAGCAATTCCAATTTTAAATTAGGGGCTTTAAACAGTGGTAAAGTATCCACCTGCCAATGCAGGAGATGTAAGAGACATGGGTTCAATCCCTGGGTCAGGAAGATCCCTTAGCGGAGGGCATGACAACCCACTCCAGTATTCTTGCCTAGAGAACCTCATGGACAGAGGAGCTTGTCCAGGGGGTCGCAAAAGAGTCGGACACGAGGGAAGTGACTTTGCACACAGCACATTCTTCAACAGCTGTGTTACCCACCCCCTGCAAAGTGAAAACACATGCTTACAGAAAGACTTGCATACAAGGTTTACTACAGATTAATTCATAATAATACAAAATTGGAAACAATACAAATACCCACCAACAGGAAATAAACTGCAGTGTACAATAAAATATAACTTGTTAATAAAAAGGAAAAAAAATAAAAAAAACAAAACACTAATCAATTTCAAAAACATGATCACGAATGAAATAAAGCAGACACAAAGAAATATATACCATATGATCTCATTTATATCAAGTTTTAGTATAGACAAAATTAATACACAAAGCTAGAAATAGGAATAGTGGTAGCCTAAGGGGAGTACAGAATAGATTGAAAGCATGCTTAAAGGAACTTCTTAGGGTGATGAAAATGTTCTATACCTTGAATAGGATACTGGGACGTTTATTACATGGGTATATATATTTGTCAAAACTCACCAAACTTTATACTTAAATCTATAGAATTTGTTGTATGTACTTCTCAAATAAAAAAAAAATTAAAGGCTACAAAATAGATTTTATTTAAAACTTCTTGGGACTTCCCTAGTGGTTTAGTAGTAAAAAAAAAAAAAAAAATCCAATGCATGAGATTCATTCTGCCAATGAAGGGACACGGGTTGGATCCCTGGTCCAGGAAGATCCCACGTGTTTCGGGGCAGCTAAGCCTGTGCACCACAACTGAAGCTAGAGCGCCTAGAAACCGTGCCCCACGGCAAGAGCGCAGCCCCCCCTCGCTGCAACTAGAGAAAGCCTGCACACAGCAACAGAGACCCAATGTATTCAGAAACAATAAAACAAAAATAGTACTTTATAAAAAACAAAAAAAAAAAAGTAAAAAGCTCCTTTTCCTCCAGATATTCAAGGTCTGACATCCAAATTAGATAGGCTGAACTTCATATTATTTGCTTTGTTTCCACAGGTGTTGGGAGAGATAGACTTCTAGACGTTACACAGCTACCAAGGCAACAATTCTCAGAAAACCATTAGTCAAGATCTGACAGCGCCTATTTGCAATCCGAACAGAGAACATCCCGGATTATAAAAGCAGGTGAACCCAACCTAAAAGACCCAGTCGGGCACAATGTTGGCATTCCTGATTCTCGTGACCGTGACCCTAACATCTGCTCACCATCCTGGTGAGCACTTTGAAGGGTAAGTAGCCTACGGCTTAAATTAGCAAGTCCTTCCTTGTTAACCAAAAATTTGAACACATTACCCCATTTTACATGTTCTCTTCTCCATTTCATTGTTCAGTGACAAGGTGTTCCGGGTCCATGTTGAAGATGAAAATCACATCAGCTTACTCCATGAGTTGGCCAGCACCAGGCAGGTAAATGCCAATCTATGCTTATAGGTTTCCTATAACAATATTTTAAAAATCTTAGATTATTTTTTAAAACCTTAAGATTGCACTGTGATTCCATCAAGGGAAAAATGACATGAAATATTAACGACAGCACTTTTGTAGCAAGAAATAAAAACTTGAAAAACATTTAGTGCCACCACACCTATATGTCTGCCTAAATCTGATTGCCATAAGCCCTACAGTATCATAAATCTTGGGTAACTTTTTACAGAGCTGCCTGAGCATGACAACTGGATGAGTCAAAATTGTTGCGAAGGTCAAAGAACATCTAGTGTATAGCAACTTCCCTTCTAAGTCAAAAGAGAAAAATGATCAACTTGGATATTACAGAAAAACTGGGCTTTGGTCCAACTTGAAATTCATTTCCACATCCCATGTATCATCTGTTCTCTTTGATTTTCTTTCATTTCAAATCAAACAGCTTGAGTTTTCATGACCTTGATTCAGGCATTCTTAATGATAGGACTTGAAGGGGGTAAAAATGATAAAAAGTCATGAGCGATTTTCATACTTTTATTTTACTATTAAGAAACCAAAATCTCTAGGCTACTTTATTTTTTTTAAATGCAATTATGGGGATTAAATTATGGGATTTAATTATGGGATTAAAATTCCAATTATGGGATTAAAACTGACATTTTAAATTGTATATATATATATATATGTATGTGTATATATATGTGTGTGACTGTGTGTGTGTGTGTATATATATATTAGTGGCAGGGAGCTATTGTAGACCACAAATAGTTTACTTGATCCAATGCTGTCTTTTCATTAATATAAAAACCAAAACATTCTACTAGTTCCTAAGTATCTATCTATCCATCCATTATCTTTCTATAGTTATCTTTCTAGCTTTTAAGATGTGGAGGGAAACAAAAAAGGTAGAGAGTGCCATAAACTGAAACAGATTCAGAAGGCTAGATCAGAAAGAGAATTTAAAGTCACCTATTGCAGGCTTCCACCCAAATTTGAACTTCTTCAGGGGAAATAGCATCTCTGGTTGCTAGCCCTAATAAAACCTGTTTGAGAGCTTCCAAGGATAGAAGGAATACTTCTTTTTCAAAGTAGCATGTGCCTTACAAACCATTCAAACCACTACACTGAGCTGAAAACTACCTTAACCTTGACCCCTTGGACCTAGCTGAGTCAAATACTGTCTCACTTCTGAGATTTATCAAAACTCTTGGCATGGGTTTACAGACTCTTGGTCATTGTGGTCACTTCTGGACATAGCTCAGTCTTTCTGTCTCTATTTCTTTTTTTTAAAAGTAGCTCTCAGAATTGACAATGGACCTCCAGATGTACTCTGATTAATACACAGTGTAGGGCCACTGTCGGCAGACACTTACTAATGGGGTGCAAGATTCTTTTTACAGGTTGAACAGTTAGAAGGCTCTTAGCTTATAGTAAACCTAATGCCCATTAAAGCTATCAGGGTATTTTTTTCTCACATGAATCACCCTCTCACATGAAGTAAGGTATTCTTCCTTCTATACTTGCCTAACTGTAAATGCAGGATTCTATTATATGTTTAGTCGGTTAAAAATTATCTTTATTGCATACTGAGACAGTTTTAAAAAAGAATTCACTGAGGGAAATAATTTGCCCTAACTTCATATCACCAGCAAGCTTTATAAACATGTCTTCTTGACTTTTACCTTTGTCACAGATAGAGTAAAAATATTAAGTAAGTGAAGGGTCAGTGCAGAATTAGAGGCATCTTCCATGATTCCTTCTTTTAATATCTATTTATCAAGAGTCTCCAGTATGCCAAATGCAGTGTTAAGTAGGCACTGAAAGTGATTAATGAATCAGGGCATCTCAGATGAGTTTTCTCTCCTATCCATGTTACTGTTGTGTTACCTACAGCTAACTGTGCTTTCCAGCTTATAAAGAGGAGTGTAAATGTAGAGACCTGGTCAGACATTTTGCTAAGATCCAGATTCAGCACTCTGGCAGGCTCGTGTTTTCTTTCAATCATCACGTGAAGTTACCTGGGCTTGATTCACTCTTGCTGTACGCTGCGCTGGCTCCCAAGGCTCACGGCTCCCTTTTCTGAGCATCCACAACCCATCTGCTTCCAGTGAACTTTGCCAGTATCCATGCCGGGCCCTTGGAGATCCTGCTTCTGAGATTCACCTGTCTTCTTATTTATGAATTCCAAGACATGCCCCCTCCACTTTTCAGGGATCCCGTCAGGCTCTGATTCCTCTAAGATTGCTGAGAAAAAGTTTTGCAGTCGCATCCTCTGCCTTTTTAGTTACCTAAAATTCAGCATTTTCTAGCAGTCAAGAGCAGAGAATCTGGACTCAGATTTCATGGGTTCAGTTCCTGGCTCTGCCACTTGCTAGCTGGACCTTGGATGCCTCTCTGGGTCTCAATCTGTCAAATAAGGAGAATAAGAGCATCTACCTTACAGAATTTTCTGAGATTTAAAAGAACTAATATAAGTAAAGCACTTGGAAAGAATTTACATAGTAAAAACTATGTGTTTGTTATTATGACCACCATGAGATCCAGGATTCTGAACGCAATTTACATGACCAGTATAATCCCTTCTCTCCTTATCTACTGCTGCTAAGCTACTGCTAAGTCGCTTCAGTCGTGTCTGACTCTGCGCGACCCCANGTAGCCTTCCTGATAAGATCATTACAAGGGCATCTAGCCTTTGTATTCATCCTTGGCCATGCGTCCTTCCTCCCAGCTTTTGAACATGGCCTTTTAAAAGCTGAATGTATTGAAGAGACCTGTGACCACACTGGACTTTAGCAACCTCCCTCTTTTCATATTTAATTGTATAATAAAGGTTTTCTTTCACCTTCTTGTTTCTTTATTAGAGGCACTCACCACAAAAGCTATCCTCTTCTCTCTATACTTTCCTGAACTGCTTCTCTAGCTTCAGGTAGACAACCAAAGTAACATGGTTACAGTCTTCTAATGTTCCATCACTCCTATTACACTTGTAAGTTCCTCCCCGCTGTCTGGAACTAGACCCAGAGTAGAAGTTATCACTTCTTCCAACAAGAAAGGAAAATTCCATCGAGATAAATGAAGAGTTAATCCTATGCTGAATTTACAGTCAAACACAATGTGAAGAAACAAATACGTGTAAATATGTGAAAAATAGAAATTCTCCAACATAATTATTAATTTATTTACATGTTCTTCTTATTCCCAAAAGAATTTAAGGTGAATACACTACTTTATGTTGCTTTTGCGCTGGTTTTGTATCACATTTTAGGATGGACTCTTTGGTTATTAGCCAGATGGGTGGTTTAGTTGACATTGTCACAGTGCTATCACTTAAAGTTATTCTTTTATCTTCCAACAAATATTCCTTATGGTTCTTTGTTACTCAGATACGTGGGTTTATAAATGTATGACCTCAGTCTGTTTATCTGTGTGTGTGTGCGTGTGCTCAGTTGCTCAGCATGTCTGACTGTTTGTGGCCCCACAGATGGCAGCCCACCAGACTACTATGTCCATGGAACTTTTCAGGCAAGAGTACTGGAATGGTTTGCCATTGCCCACTCCAGGGGATCTTCCCGACCCAGGGGTTGAACCTGCGTCTTTTGCGTCTACTGCATTGGCAGGTGGATTCTTTACCACTAGTGGCAACTCCTTAACTTGTAACTCAATTCCCCACAGCTCAGATCATGTATTTTACTCTGCTTCCATATTTTAAACATAGATCTCACTCACAAAGTGTTGGTAAATATTGAAATTTATCTTTATCTCTTTGTGCTAATGTTTTATTATTTGTAACCATACTTAATGCATTATAAACATCTTTGGGGCTATGATCTTCCTGATTTTTGGCTCCATGTCTCTTAAGAAGCACTGGTTACCAAGCCCAGGTTAGTAAGTCTCCATAATATTTGTAGGACTCCATAGTGTTGGATGTCAGTATGTTTGCTGACCAATTTTCTCCTTGTCAAACTGAAGGTTTTAAGGGACCTCAGGTTAGGTCAGCAAGTCCTTTGTCAAACATGTTTATGAGATTTCTCTATCTCATTTGTAAAATAAATATTTTTATATATGTATATATGTGCATATGTATATATATATATATACACACACAGACACCAATACTTGGCAGAGCCAAGACAGATGGACAAGAGGTTAAAAGATTAGGGAAGGCAACTTTCAGTTTAATATCAAAAAGAAAACCATCTACAAGGCAATTAGGCTGTTCTGAAGCAGTACTAGATATATTCAAGATTGTACTAGAACCATCACCAAGGATGCTGTGTTACTCTAGGTAGAAAGCTAACATCTTAACAGAGGTGCTCCCAGACAGATGCTCAGACAAAGAGTCAATGGCAGATTTCACTTGGGAAGTAGGGGAGCCTGGGTAGAGAAGTGAGGAGCGAGGCAGAGAAGGGCGGGCAGCGAACAGAAGGGACACGGCGAAGTCAGCCCGCACTGAGGATGACCAGAGCTCCATCCTCCGGAGACACTCTAGGAAAGGGTGCAAACTGCACACTTCAAAATGGTCCCACCTGAGAAGAGAGAGGATGGGAATACTTAGACACCTGCTTTCTAGGGCCATTGATTAAGCACTTCTCTGGAAAGTGCTTCTTTGGCAGCTCCTGCCTGCTGTGAGCCGTGAGGCCTTTTCCAGCTCTGGGAGAGCTTTCAAGCACAGATACATAGATCTTGGCAGGGAGGAGTCTCCTGAGCAACACTAGAGGGTCCCAGTGTTGTGTGAGTAGGGCCCTGTCTTAATTGCCTACATGTGCTTGGAGAACTTTATGTTCTTTACCGATTCTAAACCTCTGTGTCTGTAATCGAGATACATCTCCCTCTCCCATCCCACATGGAGTGACAGATCCTTGTGAAGGACACACATTCACGCTCACCTTTTTGGTGGTGTGGTTTGTTCTTCATCTGGGCCGTGTTGGGGCCTCACCGCCGCACGGGCTTCCTCTAGCTGCGGTGAGTGGGGGCCCCTCCCTAGTTGCAGCGCACGGGTGTCTTACCGCAGCGGCTTCTGTTGAAGAGCACAGGCTCTGGGGCACATGTGCTTCCGAGAGTGTGGCTCGTGAGCTCAGCAGATGTGGGCCATGAGCTTAGTCGCCCGGGGGCCTTTGAGGATCAGGGGTCAGACCCCATGTCTCCTGAATTGGCGGGCGGACTCTCATTCCCCACTGAGCCACCAGAGAAGCCCCAGAGTTAACTTTTAGAAACTTCTGCCATAATGTGCTTGTCTTCATGGCCCTTCTTTCCACAGTGCTGGCTAACGAGAATTCATCACCAGCTCTTGCTTTCTCTGTCTTTATCATGATAAGCTTTTATCCTTCCTTCACTATCTTTTAACCTCTCATCGTTATCTTCTCATCACATTCTGTAGCCAATCCTTATCAAATTATCAATACTCTCTCCTTTCAGCAACCTAATGGCAACCACACTCACTCTCTTTCTTCTGAAATCCCTCCTGTGTAATCCTAATGTCCCGCCTCTCCTGTGCTGACATTCCCTATGACCCTGACTCAAGATTCAGCATCCTCTAGACATCTGCAGTAGCTGGAAAATCCCCAGGACAGGAGATAGGCAACTGGGCTCTCCACAGGCACATCTAAAATTGGGTCATCTTAATATTTTACATCATCAGTTTCTATTTAACAACCTCTCTGTCTGCCCAAACTCCCAAGTTCCAAAGCAACAATCCTAAATATCACCACCTGCCACATCTCTAGCCTGAGATTAGCTCATAAATATCTGAACAGGTACTGGGGGAAACAAAGAGCAGAGAATGATCCAATGTCAGGGTCACCTTAGGCTTCCAGGCCTTTATTCAGCTAAAGGAAAGAACAGAAAATCAGAGACCTGTTAGAGGCAGGATGTCCTTGGTTAATATTTTCCCAAGGAAAAAAGGAGATTTGAAACCACACACCCACAAAGAAAAACATCAGAATTATCAAATATGTCACTCTACTTTTGTGCATAATGGCCTCTAAAATCTCCCCATGTTTGATTTGCTCAAGTGTGTCCTGAGTCTCAGGTGCAGAGTCGAGCACGTTATTGTTTTTATTGTCGTTTTTCAGTCACTCAGCTGTGTCTGACTCCTTGCGACCCCACAGACAGCAGCACGTGAGACTCTCCTGTCCTCCACTGCTTCCCGGAGTCTGCCCAAACTCACGTCCATCGAGTCGGTGATGCCATCCANAAGCTAGATAGCATATTAAAAAGCAGAGACATCACTTGCCAACAAAGGTTCATCTAGTCAAGGCAAGGGTATGGTTTTTCCATTGGTCATGTATGGATGTGAGAGTTGGACTATAAAGAAAGCTGAGCGCCGAAGAATGGATGCTTTTGACCTGTGGTGTTGAAGAAGACTCGAGAGTCCCTTGGACTGCAAGGAGATCCAACCAGTCCGTCCTGAAGGAGATCAGTCCTGGGTGTTCATTGGAAGGACTGATGTTGAAGCTGAAACTCCAATACTTTGGCCACCTGATGCAAAAAACTGACTCATTGGAAAAGACCCTGATGCTGGGAGGGATTGAGGGCAGGAGGAGAAGGGGACGACAGAGGATGAGATGGTTGGATGGCATCACCGACTCAATGGACATGAGTTTGAGTAAACTCTGGGAGTTGGTGATGAACAGGGAGGCCTGACGTGCTGCAGTCCATGGGGTCTTATATTGAATTGGACATGACTGAGCCACTAAACTGAACTGAACTTTACGGTCCAATTCTCATATCCATATATGACTACTGGAAAAACCATAGCTTTGACGGACCTTTGTGTAATATCTCTGCTTTTTTATTATGCTGTCTAAGTTGGTCATAGGTTTTCTTCCAAGAAGCAAGCGTCTTTTAATTTTATGGCTGCAGTCACCATCCACAGTGCTTTTGGAGCCCAAGAAAATAAAATCTGTCCCATAGTAGGTCCTCAGTGATTGTTGACAAATAATTGAACAAATGAAAATGTCAGCACACTATTGGATTCTTGAGACTCTCTTGTTTCTGCCCATGGTGCCAAGATGACCACTGTGGAGAGAGACAACTTTCCTCCCTGAAGCATCCTCCACAGGTCAGGGATGCTCTGGTTTCCACATTAGTGTGATCTGTATGGCACTGAGTTCCAAGAGAAACTCATAAAATGAGCTCAGTAAAAAGTAAAAGGGAAAGCTCCACTTCTCTCTATTAAATTTAGGCTCCAGGTAATTCAGCGTCATTCATTTATCACATATATCCATTACCACAAACACAGCTATCACCAATAAGCAACTGTTCTAGAAAGTCAATATACAGAAGAGACCAGTTATAGAATACTGCAATTAACTACCATTATGGGAGATAATCATGTGCTCTTCATGCTTGTCGATAATTAATGCTATGTATGTATGTGTGTGCACACACTTTTATTGACATCCAGCTGCTTGGTCCCAACTTTTGTCCACTCAGAAATAAAGGAGATATGTATAAGAGATTTCATGGATAATTTGATTCATAATTCACTGGGGTAGTGTGCTCGCTAGTGATGATTCATCCATGGAATTACTGGTGTCCAATACAATATGTCTTATTCCTTATTCAGATGGATTTCTGGAAGCCAGATTCGCTCACACAAATCAAACCTCACAGTACGGTTGACTTCCGTATTAAAGCAGAAGATGCTGTCGCTGTGGAAGACTTTCTGGGGCAGAACAGACTACGATATGAGTAAGCTTACATTTTATGGTTATGAAAGTTCTCTGTCATGCATGCTCTCAGCCTGGGAAGATAACAATAAGACCAAGACAATGGCCTCCTCAGGGCTCCACACGAAGGTCACGGCAGAGCCGGCCCTGAATTTCAAGTCTTGACGTTAGGCCTGAGAGAATTTGTGTTGAGTTATTGCTCTAATAAAAACAGGCTTGGCTCTAGAATCCCAAATTTTTAGCCAGATATTTGACCTGCTCCTAGTTTACAATGTTCTCCTAAGTGAAGGCAGTTGTTCATCTGTTGATCCAACAAATAGATAGTGAGCACCAATCTATCACATAATAAATGCTGGGAAAAAAGATAGGACCCACCCCCTTCAAAGGAAAATGAACAAAGGATTGCAATACCTTTAATAGGTATCAAGAAGAGTGAAGAGCTAGAGATGCAGGGGAATAGATTAAGTTGAAGGATCACAGGGGGTCATACTAGGAAAGGAGCCTTCAGCTGAGAATTAAAAGACTGATGAGTTAGCCAGACAAGACAAGGAAAAAAACGACACTCTAGGAAGAGAACAGACCTGATGTTTAGACTTAGAACTTCCCTCCATCTTAATTTGAGGGAAGGTGGAAATAACTAAACTAAATGACTAAAGTAGAAAAATTCAACTTTAGTCTTTAGTCTAAAGCAGAGTTTTTCCTCTAAAGAGTGGGTCAGCAAGAAGCAAAAAGACAGTCTCCAGCTCCAGTCCTGAACCACCAAATATTTACTCAACAATCCCCAACCACAAGCACAAGTCTCCATGACATTTTGATAAACTGACCTACATAATTTTAACAGAAATTTTCTATTATTTTTTACATCTTAAAAATATAGACTAGTATTTTTTTTTTCATTTATTTTTATTAGTTGGAGGCTAATTACTTCACAACATTTCAGTGGGTTTTGTCATACGCTGACATGAATCAGCCATGGAGTTACATGTATTCCCCATCCAGATCCCCACTCCCACCTCCCTCTCCACCCGATCCCTCTGGGTCTTCCCAGTGCACCAGGCCTGAGCACTTGTCTCATGCATCCAGCCTGGGCTGGTGATCTGTTTCAGTATAGATAATATACATGCTGTTCTTTCAAAACAACCCACCCTCGCCTTCTCCCACAGAGCCCAAAAGTCTGTTCTATACATCTGTGTCTCTTTTTCTGTTTTGCATATAGGGTTATCGTTACCATCTTTATAAATTCCATATATATGCGTTAGTATACTGTAATGGTCTTTATCTTTCTGGCTTACTTCACTCTGTATAATGGGCTCCAGTTTCATCCATCTCATTAGAACTGATTCAAATGAATTCTTTTTAATGGCTGAGTAATATTCCATGGTGTAAATGTACCACAGCTTCCTCATCCATTCGTCTGCTGATGGGCATCTAGGTTGCTTCCATGTCCTGGCTATTATGAACAGTGCTGCGATGAACATTGGGGTGCACATGTCTCTTTCAGATCTGGTTTCCTTGGTGTGTATGCCCAGCAGTGGGATTGCTGGGTCATATGGCAGTTCTATTTCCAGTTTTTTAAGGAATCTCCACACTGTTCTCCATAGCAGCTGTACTAGTTTGCATTCCCACCAACAGCGTAAGAGGGTTCCCTTTTCTCCACACCCTCTCCAGCATTTATTGCTTGTAGACTTTTGGATAGCAGCCATCCTGACTGGTGTAATGGTACCTCATTGTGGTTTTGATTTGCATTTCTCTGATAATGAGTGGTGTTGAGCATCTTTTCATGTGTTTGTTAGCCATCTGTATGTCTTATTTATGCCAGTAAAGATATCAAAACTATCACCTATAAAATCTTCACCTCCATCAGGGGAAGTGGTGAAGCATAATGTAACAAGCAAGTGCTTTGGGGAAAAAAGACACAAGACTGAAATCCTGAGTCTGCAACTTCCTGGCTGTGTGACATTGGATAATTTGCTTAACCTTCCTGAACTTCAGTTTTTTTGTCTTTATAAAGAAAGGATCCTTAGAATCATATTTTCATGAAGTGAAGATAAATATAATACCACTTTCAAAGGGCTGTTGTGGAGACGAAACTAAACAATATATAAATAAATTGCAACTGACATTGTTGTCGCTGTGAATGCTGTTATTTTACTATTTGTACTACTGCATAAAGAGGGAGATTATACATTTTTTAAAGGTCAACAGAAACTGTTTTGTTTAACCCCATTATCATACTTAGCTATCTGCTTAGCTATCTGCTTCGGCCTGAGGGAAGTGTCAATATGTGACCCTAAGAATTGACTATCTTTTTAAGACAAAGACATAACACAGTAAGTTTCGAAATGTGATTGAGATTCATGTCTGTGATATTTTGCTCTTTTCATTATACTAGGAAGGACTTCTAAAATCCTAGCCTTCAGGAGCCCTCAATAATATTCAAAAAGATGACAGTTTCTTTAAAAGTCTTAGATCATAAGCTATAGACCATAAGCTAACCCTAGTGGCTTGAATTGATGTCCTTATTCTACTCAGATCACAAAGCGGTAGAACAGCTTCTAATCAGGTATCAGTCTCTTTTTAGCAGGTAGAAAATTCATGCACTTTTATACCAGGTAAACTTTTGGGGAACTGTGTATGAATGCTGTCTCATGTAGAACACGAGATGTTCTCTAAGGACTAAGATCTTGTTAATTTTTGCTTAGCACATTAGTGGCTTATAATTTTCTAAATATTAAGTAATAATAAGTCCCCAGAAATCCTGTAGAAGTACCCCGGCAATATCTTCGCCAGGGCTGCAAGCGATCCCTGGGCATCCCATTATTGCCTTCTATGGTAGCTAGTGTGTGTTTAGAGGGTTTCCTGCCAGCAAGAATTTGCAGTTTTTCCATATAATGGGCTCCCCTGGTGGCTCAGACAGTCAAGAATCTGCCTTCAGTGCAGGAGACCCAGGTTCAATCCCTGGGTCAGGAAGATCCCCTGGTGAAGGGAATGGCAACCCACAACCCATTCTAGCCTGGAGAATCCCATGGACAGAGGAGCCTGGCCAGCTACAGTCCATGGGGTCGCAAAGAGTCGGTCACAATTGAGAGATTAACACTTTCACCTTCTATGTAACAGGAACCATTAACTGCACACGTTTCACCAAAACAGCTTTTCAGATTTTTCAGTGATTCCAGCTCTCTTCACCAAGACTTGCATCAGTTGGTAGTTTCAATCAGATTCTGAATTACCATGGGAAGAAATTCAAAATGTGTGCAACCAGAAAAATAGCTATATTTTTAAATGCTTATGTTGTACCCTATGTACACAAAGACTAAGAATTGGATGGTGTAAATCTCGCACTTTTGGTTCTGAACGTTGACAGAACCTTTCGGTGGGTCTACGTCCTACCCAATCCAGGAAGAGACTGAGTGTTGCTCTCTCTCTGTAACATTTTTCTGCATATCGCAAATCTGAATACTAAAGTGTCCTTGAATAACAATCGGTACACAGTAATGTTCTTCAGTGGCAGTGGGTGTGCAGTCTGGGAAGTGACCAAACACTCCGTTTCCAGGAATCTAAAAGGGGGAGAAAACTGTCCTGACTCTCCTCTCAGACATTGTGCTTCCTGCTCTTCTGGGAGTCTGTTATCTAATTTGCATGCATACTTGTTAAAAAAGAAGTTGAACAGCACCACAAAAGAAACATATAAAAGTATAAAATAGTGTATATGCCTCTGTACTTTGGAGCTGTAATGCAGTCCCTGTTACATTAAGAGGCATTGTTTTAATCTCCTGGAATAGAGGCTCATTATTTAGTAATAATATTTTGTAATATAGCTAAAGTAGTGTTTATCCTAAATCTAATAAAATCAAATAATCACTGGGCTGGAAGTGTTCATTTAAGGTCAATCCCCTACCTTCAGGCAAAAGTCACCACCACATTTCAACCTCATTCTGATAGTCTTTTGTAAGTTACACTTTTACTCTTGGGTGTCATCTTAAATCTAATTGGTTTTATTATGTTTCTTTGTTTTGATTATTGATGAAAATGTTTAATATTTAACATAATAATAACTCTAACAGAATGTTTCCTTTTAGTACCAAACAAAACACCAACCTCCAAGTAGTCACTTATTCTCCCAAATAATTTGAATCTGAAGATTCGATGAAAAAGTAAAGATATTGCAACATGCTGTGGAAACCCCTACTTCCTACTCCATTTAGAGCTGGTTCGTGGTAGGTCAGAAATCACCATGGTTATGGTCTTAGATACAAACGTCTATTGAATGTCCTGAGGCTGGGAGCAATTAATTCATGATTTCTTTTCTCTGGGCACCCATTAAGAAGCCATGTGACCTAGATGATTATTTCACTTGTTCCCTGAAAATGGAAAATCTTGATAAAGGGAAAGTGGATGTCATTGACCATTTCCTTTTATATTTTTAGTTTTGCCATTCTGTTAGAGAACTTATAATTACCAGGCAGGATTTGTTCTTTCAAATTGATGATCTTGGAATAGCTGTTTTCTTAAAGGTTTCTGCCTCCTGGTTTTTAGTTTTCAAGGTTTTTGTCTTGCTTGCTTTGGCTTTGTTTGTTTTTAGTTTTTAGTTACATTTGAAAACCATTTTCCTAAACTATCTCTATTCTAGATGCTTGCTTCCCTGGAGTTTATGAAGATGGTGAAGTGAAAAAGGGAAAGTGTTAGTCGCTCAGTCATGTCTGACTCTTTGTGACCCCATGGACTGTCACTTGCCAGGCTCCTCTGTCCATGGGATTCTCCAGGCAAGAATACTGGAGTGGGTAGCCATTCCTTTCTCCAGGGGATCTTCCCGACCCAGGGATCGAACCTGGGCCTCCTGAACTGCAGGCGGATTCTTTATGTCATGAGTCACTAGGGGAGCCCATAACTGGCAGCTTCACTTCAGTTTAACTTTTCTTCATAAACTTTGAACAAATCCATATAAATGACCAGGACGTGCGAATCTGAGTCAGGTCCTTGCATTTCAGAGCTGAATGGACACTGAGTACCAGCTAACCAAATATCCCGTTATAAAAATTGTGAAAGTAAGACCCCAGAGACTAAATGACTTTGCTGAAACCAATCTACATACGAGGCAAAACCATGACCCTGATCTTTTGACTTCTAACTCTAGATTCTTTCTAATTCTACCCTATTTCCTAACAATCCAACTTGGGTGTCTATAATTAAACTATAATCATAATATTATAATCATTGTTCCTAACCATAGGAGGCAGAATGACTGTCCCCCCCACCCCAAGAAAAAGACTACATTCTAATCTCTAGAACATCTGAATGTGTTATGTTAATAGCAAAGAGAAGTTAAGAATGTAGATAGAATTAAGGTCGCTATGGAATTAAGGCTGCTAAGCAGCTGAACTTAAAATAGGTAGATTATTCTAAATAAATGGGATTCCCAGCTGGCATTGTAGTAAAGAATTCACCTGACAATGCAGGAGACACAGGTTCGATCCCTGGGTGGGGAGGATCCCTTAGAACAGGAAATGGCAACCCACTCCAGTCAGTATTCTTGCCTGGACAGTCCCATGGACAGAGGAGCCTGGTGGGCTGCAGTCCTGTAGCCCACAGACTCCTGGTGGGCTAGGAGTCGCAGGGGCCGGACAAACCAAGCAAGTGAACGCAGAACACAGCGCAACGTTCTAGATGCGCCCAGGTGATCCCGGGTCCTAAGAGAGGAGGGGAGAGGCAGAAGAGGAAATCCGAGTGGAGAAACACGAGAAGGACCTGATTGCTGCTTCTGGCCTTGAAGATGCAGCAGGGCAAACAGCCAAGGAACACGGGCAGCTTCTGGAAGCTATAAAGGGCAGGGAATCAGGTTCTCCCCTGGAGCTTCCGGAAAGGCGCATATCCCTGTGGACACATTGATTTTTACCCCAGCGAGACCTCTGCTGGGCTTCTAAACCATAAAATAATAAATTCATGTTGTTTTAAGCCACTTAGTTTGTGCAAACAGCAGCCATAGACATGAATACACTAACAAAGTACTGATGGCTATGCTTAGTGGGAAATTTTCTTTCCACAGAATAAATTTGAAACTCTTCTCCTTTTCCATTTTATTTTTTTTAATACTACCTTAAGAGAGTTAAGACCTTAAGACAGTGTTTCCTTCTTGCTAGGAAATCCATACCATTTAGTATTGATTTACTGCATTTTCCCACAAACGGAGGCAAGTTCACGCCCAAGTTAACCAAATGGAGGGGAGACCTGGAGGGAAGTTCAGAGAAGGTCCCTGACAGACTTCACCAGAATGCCCTTGGGGCAGTCGGAGGAGAAGATTTTGATGTGCGGCTACAATTCTCTGTGAGTCAGATAAAAACATTTCAAGGCTTGACTGTGGATAACAGAAGTTTCTGCAAGCTAGCTCCTGCCCATAATGTTTACAGTGCTATGACCAAGGACATTAATGCTCATAAAATTTTGTCCCTTCGAAATACACTTTCCACTCAGAAGCTACAAAGTCAAACACAGTCACACATACCCACACCTTCACCCCTGCCTCTTATAATACACACTTCCACCCGAATAATCATTTTCAGGAAATAGCAGGCCTCAAAATCTCTGTCATCAGTTTTCATATTACCTTGCTACAGGGCCACTCTTAGACTTCTTTAAACATGCCAAAAGAAAGACAAGCGGAAGCTAGTACTTTAAACTCAGTGTTCTTTTGTCTAATAAAGCTTTACTAGCTTGTTAATATTTCTGAATTTCCACCCATCAAGGTATTTTTCTCAAAACCTAAAGAAAGGCCTCAGGTGACGGGATGTCCCAATTTTCCTGGGAATGAGTAGGTTGCTGGGACATGGTTTCAGTGCTAAAACAAGGGAAGTCTTGAGCACAGGTAGGCTTGAGGGCATGCTTTTGTGTGGCAGCCCAAGGCTCTGACCCAGGGTGCCCCAGATACCAAGGAAATCATTTTTCAGATTTAAGGTCCAAGGACAGCCAAACAAGTTTGCGCCAAGGAAGAGTCTGCCTTCCTCATACCCTCTGGTACCCTTCTCAATGATTTACCCGCTTTCTGAGGCAAGTAGCTCAAGGTGAAGAGGACACATCTGACTAGCAGAGACTCTGCGTTGTTGCACATGGTCACAGGGAAACGCGCTGATGTTCACAGGAGTGCTTCCTCTGGTTTATTACAGGGTATTGATAAGCAACCTGAGGTCCATGATGGAGGCTCAGTTTGATAGCAGAGTCCGTGCTACTGGACACAGTTATGAGAAGTACAACCAATGGGAAACGGTATGAAGCATACGTGATTTAGACAGACATTGCCTTGAAAACTGAACTGAGAATGTCCCATTAATCCATCAATGGTTCCATTCGGTAGATAGAGGCATGGACTGAACAAGTCGCCAGTGAAAACCCAGACCTCATCTCTCGCAGTGCCATCGGAACTACATTTTTAGGAAACACTATCTACCTCCTCAAGGTAATGCTTTTTAACCATAACCTTGCCACATCTGAGCACTTTAAATCAATGAATTCTAACACAGTAACATCTGTTTCACAGACATGTTCATCTCAGACATTGTTATAACTCTTTTTCTGCCTACATCCCTCAGGGAATCAAACAGAGTACCCAGATTCTTTTATCATGCGTGAATTTTTAAATCATTATTTTGATTTATCCAAAAGGAAAAAATGCAATAAAATAGAAGTCCTATAAATTTAACCACATTCCTGTAAGCAATGTAAATGATCATCTACCTTGATGAAATTCTCCTCTCCCAGATGTTGTTTGCAAATCCATTTGCTAAAGAGGTTCATAAACTTCATGTCTATCAGACAACATCACACAGCGCATCAACAATTCGTTACTGTTGTCCTCCAATGCCATTTTTATCATGCAATGCTAATGAAGAAGATAAAAAGACAAGGAATAAGTGGGAGAAAAGAAAAAAATCTTACAATATTAGCAACAATCATGATTACTTCTAATTACTTATCCAGTTGTCTTGGTCATGTCACCTAATAATAGCAGTAGAAAATAACCTCCATGTGAGTACAATTAAGCAGAGTAATCAAGCATCTTCTGAAAATACGAGCTTGACAAGCTTAATAAAAATAATAAACAGCCATGTAAGCCTCCAGCTCACTGTGAGTGTCGACAGGCAAAAACACAGTGTGCAAGTATTATGATTTAATTTAATCCTGGAATATATCTCTTGTTGCTGGCAAGTATCGCCAGTGGAGTCCAAAGCCCAGACAGGTAGAGAATGTTAACCTCTGAATGTGATGAATCGTTGTCTTCCTTTTCCTTTTGATTCAATAGGTTGGCAAACCTGGATCAGATAAGCCTGCCATTTTCATGGACTGCGGCTTCCATGCCAGAGAGTGGATTTCCCCTGCATTTTGCCAGTGGTTTGTCAGAGAGGTCAGTATGTAGGGCGATTACTGACAGAGCAAAGTAGAAAGTATTTTTTTTATTTCAATCAATCCCTTATAAATTAGCTATAATAAAAGAGAATAGCAGCACAGAAAAAAATCATAATTCCAAGTTCCAAGCTATAAAAGTCACCTAGAAAACTTGATAAGGCAAAACTTTAAAACAGTTAGCAAATTTTATTTATTTGAACTTCACTCATCTTAATTTTCTCACTCACCTTTGGGAAAAAGGCTAACGGGTATTAAGTACAGTGAATAGGTCATTGAAAAGGTGTGGTTGTGGGTAAACCACTAATTTGACCATTATCTCCTAGATGATAATCAATGTACACTTCAAAATAAAAGAAAATAACACATAGGAGCCCCTACTGTAAGTGATACTATTTTTCACTCCTTTATAAAGGTCAAGGTAAGATATATGTGTAAATCCTTTTAAATACCCATAAGTACATAAATGATATAAAAAGATAATTCAGTCAAGAAAGAAAAGGAAGGAACAGTTCTTTCTTACAGAAGAAGTTACAGCTAATGGATGTACAAATGAGCAAAACAGAAAGCCATCATTAGAGCAACATCATAATAAATACTTCACGAAAACCTACAGGTGGATACAAAAATTATGGGGGAAAAGTTTAAGGAGAAATAGGTCATTAGCAGCATCAAAGCACCTCCCCAAAAATGTATTATACTATATTACACAAGCAAAATTTACAGTGCAGAAACCTAGCAGGGATTACCTTAACCAAGCGATCAGGTTAACAACACTAGTAACATCACCAGTGTAAGATACAATCAATATCATGTAACTCCGGATATTGTGCACCACGAAGGTAAACCATCTTTTTGGTATTCTTTCCCAAAATGCACAACCTCCTTCTAATCATTAAAAAAATAAAATAAACTCAAATTGAGGGACCTTCTGTAAAATACCCAGACCAGTACTCATTAACAATGTCAAAGTCATGATGAAAAGTCAAAGGAATTGTCGCGGATAAGAAGAGACTAAGGAGAACTGACAACCAAATACAATGTGGGAGCCTAGATTGGATCCTACAATAGAAAAAGGACATTAGTGAAATCTGAATTAAAGTCTGTCGTTTATAGTACTGTACCATTATTAATTGCTTCACTTTGATCATTGTACCATTGTTATGTAAGATGGTAACATTTGGGGAACCTGGGTGAAGGGTATATGAGAACTCCCTGTATTTGCAACTCTTCTATAACTTTCTAAAATTATCTCAAAAGTAAAATTACATTTAAAATATTGAAGTACTTTAAAAATATGAGACTATTATTATATACAATATATTTTCTTTTGTGTAATGCATTTTCTGTATCTATTCACTAGGCTCTTGGTTTCTAGACATGTTATGTGCCCAATTGGCACCATTTAATTTCAGTGAGTTATTGCACCATCTACAGGACTTTCCAGATGGCACTAGTGGCAAAGAATCTGCCTGCCAATGCAGGAGATGCAAGAGACATGGGTTCAACCCCTGGGTCGGGAAGATCCCCCAGAGGAGGGCATGGCAACCCACCCCAGTGTTCTTGCCTGAAGAATCCCATGGACAGAGGAGCCTGGCAGACAACTGTCCATGGGGTTGCAAAGAGTCAGACACAACTGAAGTGACTTAGCATGCACACTCGCCATCTGCTCTCTAGGAGAAAGAACTTTCATCGTTACTTTGGTTACCTCCAATCATAGACCACCAACAAAACATACTTTATACCTCCTCCAACCTAAAAAGCAATCTATTCAAGCAAGCCTAGGGAAGAGCTGAAGACAAATTTAATATGATCCTGGGGTTGAGGAACTGTGACTAAGAGAATATAACAAATCAGTACGAGCTCCTTCATTCATACATAAGGGTCCACATCACTTAGCAGGACGAGCTAGACCCTTAACAGACCTTCTTTCTCAAGAAAGAGGAGTAAGAAGACTCCTTCATATGAAATTTGGAAATTTAAAGAGAGCCTCTCCAAAACCCATCAGAGTGATCTCACTGCACAGTGGGAGGCCTTTTCCTTCTTCTTCCATGTTAGCCACTTCCTCTAGTGAGACTGTCTACAGGAAGTCTCATCAAAATTAAACAAATTTCTGGATGATAATATAAGGAACATGCAAAGCCACCCACAGACATTTCTTACTTACTAGGAATAGGCGTTACTCTCATATCCTACGAATTTTGAAGAAAAGGTATTGCAATTGCTATTTTAAAGGAAATAAGCATTTATGTTCTTTAAAAATCTTTCATTTTATTACAATTTTGTCCATCTTTAAAAAGTTGAAATAAAAATAATAACTAAATGAGCTGTGTGTGGATAAAACAGAGTACTTAGAAACAGAGAATCAGAAACTATTTTAAACAAAACTATTAGTAATACTTTGCTATTTGCTTTTTTTCAATATTAATAATCTCTACCTCAAAAAGGGTACTCACTTTTGTTATCAGAGTCAACATTTGTCCAGTCTATGTAAATTTCAGTGCATAATGCATACCATTTTCCATAAAATTCTGCTTTGTAATTTGTACACAGGCTGTTCGGACCTATGGACGTGAGATCCACATGACAGAATTTCTCGACAAGCTAGACTTCTACGTCTTGCCTGTGGTCAACATTGATGGCTACATCTACACCTGGACCACGGTACAAGAGCCAATACTAAGAGGGACTGACGAAATTAAAATGAACCATCTGTTACACTCGTCCTAACCATACACTGCACTTTCAGAACCGCATGTGGAGAAAGACCCGTTCCACCAAAGCTGGATCTACCTGCGTTGGCACAGACCTCAACAGAAACTTTGATGCCGGCTGGTGCCGTAAGTATCAGGCTGACCATTTTGCTTGCATCGTGGAAAGCACAGGAAGTAAAATAACAGGAACACACAACAGTGTCACAAACAAGAAAAACTATAAAATTTTATACTTTCAAGTTCCAGGTTTCTAAAAGCACAGACAATCAACAGTTTATATATTCAGTCAATAAAGATGCATTACCTATTCTACTGTGTTCCCAGCTGTATTAGACGCTGGAAACATAAGATGAACAAACCAGACGTAATCCTACTATTGGTGGGATGTACACCCTAGAGAAGTCATCATTAAATAGTTATCCAAGCAATTATTTAAATAAAAATGTGATAGAATTATAATTTTGTGATTCAACTCTCAATGATTACAGTAACACAGAAATTTCTCATGGGTGTTTGTCCCCTACTTACTAGCTTTCTTATACTATACTGGTCTCATCGTTGAGTACTACGCAGGGACATTAGGGCTTCCCAGGTGGCGCCAGTGGTAAAAGTCTGCCTGTCAATGCAGGAGACGCAAGAGATGTGGGTTTGATCCCTGAGAGGAAGGTCCCCAGGAGGAAGAGCTAGCAACCCACTCCAGTATTCTTCCCGGGGAAATTCCATGGACAGAGGAGCCCGGCAGGCTCCAGTCCATGGGGTCCCAGGTAGACAAGACTGAGCATGCAGACACATGCACACAGGGACATGTTAGTGATTCCACATGCAACTTTTTACCCTGCTAGCTTAAAAGCATCATAGTCTTGTAACTAAAAGTATATGTACTTTATAATGTATACATACATGGGATGATTGTAAAAACTCTTGCGAAAACAACTTATTTTTTTTAACTCTCTAACGCTGTAGTTTGAAATTTTGAAACACGCCCTACTAATTTTGAAACACGTTCCTACTAATGTAAGAACATCAGTAGATGACCACTTGCCATTAACAGCATCATGTTTTTCCAGGTATTGGTGCCTCTACAAACCCCTGCGATGAAACTTACTGTGGATCTGCTGCTGAGTCTGAAAAAGAGACCAAGGCTGTGGCTAACTTCATCCGCAACCACCTGTCTTCCATCAAAGCATACCTGACAATCCACTCCTACTCTCAGATGATGCTCTATCCTTACTCCTATGATTACAAACTCCCCAAAAACAACGTTGAGTTGGTAAGTCATCATGGTAGCAGATACAGTATTTTGCTGTTGATTTTTTTTTTTCAATTCTATTCCTGGGGAAAAACAATTATACAATTTCTGGAAGGTCCATGGTTGACCTTTGGTAACAGAAGTAAAACAGATTTACAAGGAATCTGAAATTGGCTAGATACACTGGCTAGAAGAAATATGACTTTCATGCAGAGAATGATCCACAACATATGGTCATTTACTAATCTTCCAAACAACAAGAGTTCCACTTCCTCCTGCTTCACCACAACACTGACACATATGATTTCAGATGCACGTGAAGTTCCTTCACTTCACATATAATCTTCATCAGAAAGTTAATGTTACTAACCTGCCTCAAACTGGATTTGACATACATAGGCAGAGTATGGCAGATGTTAATAGGAATTATGCATATCTGGCTGATGTTGAGCTAAGTGATAAGATCCTAAAATGCCTATTTCACTGTTGGATTAGGTAAGACACAGATGTAAATCAATCAATGAACAAATGATATGAATAGGTCTTTACTAGATATGATGAAAAATTAAGTATCCCTGCCTCAAAAATTAGCAATCTTGTTGGTGAATCAAAATATAACCATGTGAAAAGTTAAATAATGAGTTTTATAATATTCATGTTAAATATGGTATATCTGCATAATTTTTTTTTAAATAAGCATATGTGAATCCTTCAACAACTTTTTTTTTAATTATGAACATCTGACTATCAGAAGTTGGAACCAATGATCTAAAAGAACAAGTATAAGATTTAAAGCATTTGACTTATGCCAAAAAATAAAGTATTCCACTTAGAAAATGACATAGACATTTGGCTTACCTAAATGCATAAATTCAAAGACCCAAAACTTAATCAACTGGAAATTGTTGTTTTGTACTTTCAGATTCAGTCTCTTAGAGGCCAAATAAAATAAGTAATGCTGTAAATATTTTGTGAAGAGGAAACTCGAAAAATAACTCAACCTTTTAGAAAACTGATAGCTAATAGTTGGCCAGGTCCTTTTCTTTAAAAAAAAAGAAAAAAGAAATTTCAAAACGCTTCCCATTTTCCCTATCTGTAGCCAAAAAACAAAAGCATAACATCATTAGTTGGAACCGTTAAATATTTTCAGTTTTCCAATAATGCTCAGTCTGTGAGTATGCTCAGCAGCGGGTGCTCACGGGCCTGCTGTCCCAGAGCTGAGTGTGGACAGCTGCTCATTTCAGTCCTAGATATCTGGCCACCAGAGGAGAGGAAGTGGGGGTATGTTGCTTGCTTAATTCACGTGAATATGTTTAAACTGTACCACATCGAAAGGGAAAAAGGAAAGCCATAAAAACTAAGCACTAATGAGTTACTAAATAAAATATTAAAACTAAAATTATAAACCACATTAAATGTAACAATAGCTAATATATCCAGTTTGCTTAATAACTAGTTTTAAATATATAAACACTAAAAGACTAACGCTAACAGAAAAGCTTAAAGTGTTCTTTGGTTTCTTTTAATTAATTTATTAATTTTACTTTACAACATTGTAGTGGTTTTGCCACACACTGACTTGAATCCGCCACGGGTGTACACGTGTCCCCATCCTGAACCCGCCCCCCCGNTTGATTTGTATTTCTCCAATAATGAGTGATGTTGAGCATCTTTTCATGTGTTTGTTAGCCATCTCTATGTCTTCTTTGGAGAAATGTCTGTTTAGTTCTTTGGCCCACTTTTTGATTGGGTCTTTTATTTTTCTGGAATTGAGCTGCAGGAGTTGTGTTCTTTGGAATGGAACTGCTTCACAATGTTGCAATACTTCTTATTTGAGGATAAGTTTAAACTCTTTTTGCAATGAAAACTTTTTTGCCCCACTGGCTCCATACAATAAAAACCTAGTATCTGGACTGCTCTAAAAGTCTATAAAATGTCCTTTAGAAAAAAGAATCAAATTAGTTCTACCTTTAGAATCTCAAGAAAAATTCTTGCTATGTCCCTCCAGAGACTGTGATTCCCTGACACTTTTCTCTAAAAATCACTTCTCCATTTAAAGTCAAGGAAAGAGGGGTAATAGAAAAAAATACATACTAGAAATTCTATCCTTCAAGATTGTTTTTAAATTCTAAAGAAGTGAAACAGAACTATACAAAAGTAAAATATTCATAATGAATTCTCAAAAAGAAAACACAAACTACAAAATAATCTTACCTTGGATGTTTATATTTATAGCCACAAATCTAATAAACTCAAGGAAAAGGACATGCTATTTCCTATGTTTTTTAGAGCATGATAAGATATGTGATAAAATGCATGCATGCATACTTAGCATGATAAGATACAAAACTTATTTGCACTTATATCACACAGATTGATATAAAAGTTAATTTCCAACAATTTTTTTTTTCTGTGACTAAACTTTTGCCTAGCATCTTAAATCAGTTCAGTTCAGTTCAGTCACTCAGTCATGTCCAACTCTCTGCAACGCCATGGACTGCAACACGCCAAGCCTCCCTGTCCATCACCAACTCCCGGAGTTTACTCAAACTCGTGTCCATTGAGTCGGTGATGCCATCCAACCATCTCATCCTCTGTCGTCCCCTTCTCCTCCTGCCCTCAATCCCTCCCAGCATCAGGGTCTTTTCCAATGAGTCAGTTCTTCACATCAGGTGGCCAAAGTATTGGAGTTTCAGCATCAGTGTCAGTCCTTCTAATGAATGTTCAGGACTGATTTCCTTTAGGATGGACTGGTTGGATCTCCTTGCAGTCCAAGGGACTCTCAAGAGTCTTCTCCAACACCACAGTTCAAAAGCATCAATTCTTCAGTGCTCAGCTTTCTTTATGGTCCAACTCTCACATCCATACATGAGTACTGGAAAAACCATAGCTTTGACTAGATGGACCTTTGTTGGCAAAGTAATGTCTTTCTGCTTTTTAATATGCTGTCTAGCTTGGTCATAACTTTCCTTCCAAGGAACAAGCATCTTTTAATTTCATGGCTGCTGTCACCATCTGCAGTGATTTTAGAGCCAAAAAAATTAAGCCTCTCACTGTTTCCACTGTTTCCCCATCTATCTGCCATGAAGTCGTGGGACCAGATGCTATGATCTTAGTTTTCTGAATGTTGAGCTTTAAGCCAACTTCTTCACTCTCCTCTTTCACTTTCATCAAGAGGCTTTTTAGTTCCTCTTCACTTTCTGCCATAAGGGTGGTGTCATCTGCATATCTGAGGTTA